AGAGAGAGAGAGAGAGAGAGAGAGAGAGAGAGAGAGAGAGAGAGAGAGAGAGAGAGAGAGAGAGAGAGAACACACCGTTGGAACCATTCTTAGAATGACACAAGAGGTCAGTCAGTATTCAGGCTGCTGGGGATTTAAATTTGTGTTAAGGAGTACCTGTGGGCTATGGTAAGGGGCCACCCCCTACCGACCACTGCGACCAGCCAGCACCGGTTCGGGTGTGTACTGTGGAAGCATCTCATCCAACTCTCGCATTCGCAGCTGCTGCAGCAAATGGCATGGTGTAGGCAGCTGTCACAGGCCACGTGGCTCCCAGCACACCGACCGCTATTGTAGAGGCATTGCCGGTGTGTGTGTGTGTGTGTGTGTGTGTGTGTGCTGTCTCTTATACACATCTAGATGTGTATAAGAGACAGGCCTACAGTTCACCGGCCGGGCAGTTTGCAAATGACTCATGAGTCAGTCGGTGAAACTCCGATGAAACAGTTTGTTTGTTGTCCTCTTCTCCCTCCCTCTCTGCCTCAGTTTACCCGGCAGCTCTGTTTGATGACATATATAATGTATATTAAACTATATTTATTATATTATTTATTCTATTATTGTTACAAACCTATCAACTAAACTCAATGACTATATAAGCTAAACATATATTGTCACACTGTAAATCAGAGCGCGAAGGCGGAAAAAAGCAAAACAAGGAAAAGAAGGAAGGAAGGAAGGAAGGAAGGAAGGAAAACCCCACCTGTTCATCACCTCTTACGTACAAGGCCAGCCACGTTTGTATCATTGTCACAATTTCTCAGAGACAATATGTTCAGACATTTTTGTCTAAAAGAACGCAATTTGCAAAACGAACAAGAAAAATACAGAAGACAAAAATGAAGAACATTAAGTTGTGTTTCGAAACAAAAAATAGAAAATAAAAAAAAAATGAAGAACACTCTGAAACCATTCTCTTCATCATTTCTATGTACAAGTCTCAGACTCTCAGGTATATACAGACCTCATCAAATATTTATATATATATACATATCTATATAACATGTATTTGTCTCAGCTGTCGTTTGTTGTCCTCTTGGCCCTCTGTGCCTACGGTTTTACCTCGCCGTTCTGTTTGACGATACATCTCGCACATATATAGTATATACATATCTCCACCGACTTTCAGACTATCAGCTATATACATATCTCTGCTTTATTCTCTACATACATATCTCTGCTATATTCTCTCCTGTCATCTTTTTCGCTCAACAGTCCTGGCAATCTCTGCCTCCACCGTATCTCTTCTCCTTCCGGCAATTTTTCTCCCCTGCCCGTCCATAGCTTCACACCCACTTCATAGAGTCTTCACAGAGTCTTCACTCCATTCGATTACAGTTTTGGGAGGGGGGGAAAAAAAAAAAAAACAAAAAAAAAAAGCTGCTCTTGGGATAGACTTGCCCATCGATATGTCAAGCACTCTCAGGGCAGACTCTCACTCGGACTTTCCTAAATGAATCTGACTGCAATTATGGTCAGACCTGGACGAATCTGACTGCAATTATGGTAAGACCTGGATGAATCTGACTGCAATTACGGTCAGACCTGGATGAATCTGACTGCAATTACGGCCAGAACCTGGATGAATCTAACTGCAATCACGGTCAGAGCTTGGTAGAAAAGTTAGTCCCAATGTTGTGCGAGTATGCTCTCCGACTGGCAGTCCTACAGCCTTGCCACTGTCACAAAGTCTGCTACCGTCTTCCCCCGAACATAACAAACCCTGATAATGAACGTATACAAGCTATCTTTACGGTCAGGTACAGCCAAAATGAGGGCGCGTTGTTTTGGGGGGAAGAAGGTAGTGCTGGTAATGCTTAGCATCCTTGTCCGCCAATCCCTAAACCCCAGCACAACTGGGTTCGAACCTTCTGCCCCCTCGTACACATTTCGAGTGACAGCTTTTGCACCCGTCTCTCTCAAGCCCGAACTCTTGTGCACAGAGAGGCCTTACAACTCTTTAACACAGGCCCCCCCATCTATCATGAACATCAATCGGCTCTTATTCCCGTACGCCTACAACATATCATTTATTCGATCGTCTTTTTCACTTCCCCCCCCCCCCCCCCCCCCCCTCCTCATTACGTGTTCTTGAGCAATTTTCGCACATCTCACTGCATCATCTTCCTTCTCCGCAGTTTCGCCCACTCGAGCCACGGGCTCGAAAACCTCACGCAGGTCCAAGAGACGGATCGCGAATTTGAAATTAGAGGTCGACCCCAAAATTATATTTGGCTTTCAAAAAAAAGTCCTCATGACATGAATGATGACGATGACGATGATTCCGAAAAAAAAAAAGATTTTACGTCAGGACCTGACGTAAAACCTTTTTTTTTTGGACATCTTCCGCATATCTCTGCTTCTCGTTGCCACACACCAACCCCGCTCAAATCAGTGGAAAATGCCAAAAGGCGGTACTGGTGCAAAATCTTAACCTGCGTTTGACATTAACCTGACGACCGGTCACTCTTTCCCCTCCAACCAAGCCATTCTTCGCCCCCGTGAAGTTCGGATGCTTGCTTGCAGAACAAAGAACTGCCAGAAAGAGCAGAAAAACTCACGCCGGATATCCAATGCAGTCTTTCTTCTTTTTCTTCTTCTTCTTTTTTTTGTTTTTTTTTTTGTTTTGAAGTCAGTGCCGGTCTGCTAGAGAAGGTCTGGTCTTGCTTCAGCTGCTGAACACAAAGTCCGATCGTAAACGGGAAAGCCTTATTCTGGTTAACATTTACACTGTGACGATCGCAGATCGCAACGGGGTTCCTTCTCCTGAGTCCTGACCTGTCTGCGAGATGCAGACTCTGACGCAGGTCTCGGGGCACGGTTGCTACCTTGGCATGCGCAATCTTTGTTGTAGTTCGAAATGCGATCGGCAAACTGCGAGATGCAGGGTCTGACATAGGTCTTGGGGCACGTTCAATACCTCCGCATGCGCAATCTTTGTTGAAGTTCGAAATGCGATCGGTGATCTGCGAGATGCAGAGTCTGATGTAAATCTCGGGGCACGTTCGATACCCCTCCGCATGCGCAATCTTTGTTGCAGTTCGAAACACAATCGCCAATCTGCGAGATGCAGAGTCTGACGTAGATCTCGGGGCACGTTTGCTTCCTCGGCATGCACAATCTTTGTTGAAGTTCGAACTGCGTTCGCCGGTATTTGTCTCTGCATGGGCCATCTTTGAACCACGATGACCGATATTCGCCTCTGCACGGGCAATCTTCAAACTGTGATCGGGTATTCGCAGGGGGTCTTCGTGGTAATTCAAAGCCGTTCAGCTCTCCAGAACCGCACTGTGATATCCTCGACAATCCACCAGCTTCTCAAGATAAGACAGGATCTGTAGCAAAAATTAACAATACAGGATCAGTACAGGAAAGGGAAGGCACCCAAAATTATATGAAATTGGCTGGCTGCAACCTCGTACATAGAGAGAGGCATTTACAGTGGACGGATTCCTTTTTTTCTTTCTCTTTTTTTTCTTTTTCTTTTTTTTTTGGACCTTTTTTGTCTTTTTTTTTTTACTGCGTGTCATCCTTGAGCAGGGGCCATGCTAATCTATCTTCTTTGTATCGTTCCACTTTTATCGGACGTCCCGAAGGACTGTGTGAATTCCTTTTCTTCTTTCTTCTCTCTCTCTCTCTCTCTCTTAATTTGGACCGTTTTTTAATTCATGTGCGTCTGACTCATCCTTGCGCAGGGGACAGGGGACATCCGTTGGCATTGGATTCATTGGAACGATACAAAGAAGATAGATCAGTATTGCTGGTCAGATTCCTACTTCAAAACTTCAAAAAAGTTAACAGTTAACAGTTAAAAGTTAAAAGTTAAAAGTTAAAAGTTATCAAAAGTTAACAGTTAAAAGTTAACAGTTAAAAGTTAACAGTTAAAAGTTAAAAGTTAACAGTTAAAAGTTAGAAGTTCAAACTTCAAACTTCAAACTTCAAACTTCAAACTTTATATATCGTCAAACAGAGGAGCTGCCCGGTAAACCGGGCTAGGCAGAGAGGGAGAAATGGAGAAGAGGACAACAACCGAGGGGCTGTGACAAACTGTTTCGTTAGCGTTTCACCTACCGACGCATCAGAATGAGGCTGAAGCCTCAACAGAGTCTACACTAAACTGGATGCTATCCGTGAGAGTTTGAAGTTTGAACTCAAGTCATGGGCTTGGCTTTGACTTTTTCAAGTTTAAACTTTAAAGCTTTGTGCAGGAAAGTCTTATTGCTGCACACGACTCCACCGGCGGCGGAGTTGTGGGATCCTGGGAATGGATAAGATTTCATTCAGAATAATAAAGATTGTTTCTTTAAATTTCTTTCAGCTACAAAAAAAGAAGATAATTTCAGATAATTAAAAAGATTCTTTCAGATAACAAGATTGTTGCAAATGAAACTTGAAACGTTTAAAGTTTACGATAACAAGATTGTTGCAAATAAAACTTAAACGCTTAAACTTTAAAATTTAAACAGAGAGAAAAGAAGTGGATGGATTCAGTCAAGAAAAAGTAAAAAAAAAAAAAAGCCTCAAAAAGGTGGTCTAAAGACTCACCTAAAGGCTCATTCATGCAGTTGAGTTTGAACTCAGGTAAAGCAGGGAATGTTTTTTTTTGTACAGCAGCTGTAAAAGGCACACACTCTGATGGAGTCTGATCATTTTACTATCCTACGAAAAAATGGGAAAAGAAAACACACACACACAAAGGGGAAAAAAAAAATAAAAAATCTGCTGCAAGGCAAAAAGACTAAGCACTGTAGCATGGGAAAAAAAAAAAAAAAAAAAAAAAAAAAAAACACTTGGGGGCACAGCAGCTCATCTGTTCTCATACCATGTCTCGCCTCTGGAGGAACATCGTCATTTCTTCTTCAGTCAGCAAGCCATGGAAATTCTCTCTCACTAACTTAATGTCGAGGAATTTGAGGCGAAGATACGTCTTCGCATGCACACAGCGCACCGGTCCCGTCTGGAATGCGTTCTCGTGGTCCATCCTCACTTCCGCACCCTGGCTCAAAAAGACAAACATCCGCCAAAAAAAAAAAAAAAAAAAACCC